AAAAAAAAAAAAAAACACCTGGAACTTGAAATATGGCTTAAATTGGAACATGGGTAGTTCACCCATAGTGACAGGTATAAAGACTGAGTAAGTGGGTAAGGATACTGGATTAGTAGGTATTTGTGGTGATAGGAGGCTGTGGAAGTTCTCCAGCTTGCTTCAGTTTTCTCAGTGAATTAGGAAGCAAGCTCATCACTGAAAAGAAGTACTGAGGTTTTGATGAGAGAAGAAAAAGTATGAAATAATGTTCTGGGAGAGTAAGTGAACTTGGGAAATAGGAATACTTGGAAGCATTAAGGGCTCAACTTTATTAAAAAATAACCAAATAAAAACTATATGAGTGGGTATATATGTGTATTTTCTTACATTTATATATAAATTTTTATATATGTATATAAGATGTCTGTGTATAATATATGTATAAGCACAGAAAAGGATCCAGAAGTATACATACCAAATTGTTAATAATGCTTACTATTAGAGAGAGAGATATATATAGGGAGGGGGAGTGGAAGATACTCCTATATTATTTGAATTTTTGATCAGCATGTATTATTTTTATAATTAAAATAAAATAGCCTAGAAGTTTATAGTGTGAGAGGACAGTTTATTTTTTTTAATTAATTTATTTTTTTGATCAAAATAAGGGCCTTGATAAATGTCTCTGGAGAGATGGAAAGAGGAAAAAATAGGATATAAACAACTATTATGTACAACTCCCAATGGTAAAATTCTCCCAGTCATCCCCTCCATCTCCAAAGTGTCTGAGGCAGTGATTGGGTACCACCAAGTAAATACAAAAATATCCAGGTTCTGACTCTAGGCGCTGATGGAAAAGGGGCAGGTCAGGCCTCCCAGGCATAAATGGAAGGAGCAGATATGATGTAAATCACATGAATTTCCATCTTCAAGGTAACTCCAAACTGCTGGCTGGCTCAGGGCATCCCCAGAACCCTTCTGCATTCTCCTGCATGTTGAGTGCATCTGGTAGCAGACCCCAAGTGAGACCCAGTATACTGGCCAGGGTCATGGTGTCACACATGGACCAGCAAAAGCACACATAGCACTGGCCAGGCCCATGGCCACCAACAGTCCCAAAGCCAGAGGAGAGGAAAATTTAGAACACTGATCAAGATGCACAGCACCCTCACCTCAACTAGGCAAAGGATATGTCATAATTAAACACAATTATCAACTCTGTAGTAAAGCTGATTATCAACAAGACGCTATGAGAAAAGCAGAGGCATCACTCACCTTGAACACTTCAGAGAAGAAGCCAGACCCTATTTTTTCACAGGTGAAGTCATCTAAACGCGTCAGTCTAGAAAAGGCACTTATAAGAGCTCGATATGAAGATGGCCAAACTCTTCCCACCTGGGTCATGTTCCCATCTCCCCCACCACCTCCTTCAAGATCTTCAAGACGCTCCACACGTGGAGGAAAGCCTGCAATTGAATTCCGTTTGCTCCGATCCATAGTCTCAATAATCACTTTTTCTTCTTTTAAGAAGGAACTCCACACATAATACGATTTTGTTGAGTTTTACTTCTCTTCCGGTTTGATGCTAAAAGAGATATCAGAAAGATATTTCATTAAAACCATTAATGAATAAATACATGCAAACCAATGAATTATCAATGTAAAAATATTTCCTCTTTCACATTCTAGGTCCTGATTTTCAGATCTAAAAAATATACTTTATACCTTTACCTTCAAAAATACTGATATATTTAAAGCCCAAAATGTAGTCAGTCTTTAGAGTAGACTATAATAAATATCAACTGCATTCTAAAAAACAAAATAACAATAATATCTATCATTCATTGAGCACCCATTCTAGGAATCATAGTATAAAAGCTGTACATAGGTCATCATTTCATTCTCAAATAATCCATGATAGGGGAGCCTGTGTGACTCGGTTAAGCATCCGACTCTTTGTTTTGGCTCAGTCATGATCTTGTAGTTCATGAGTTCAAGCCTGCATCAGGCTCTGTGCTGACAACCTGGACTCTGCTTGGGATTCTCTGTCTCCCTCTCTCCCTGCCCCTTACCCATACTCATGCTCTCTCTCTCTCTCAGAAATAAATAAACATTTAAATAATAATAATAATCCATGATATAAGAATTAGTATGTTCTTGGGGCGCCTGGGTGGCTCAGTAGGTTAAGTGTCCAACTTTGGCTCCGGTCATAATCTCACAGTTTGTGAGTTTGAGCCCTGCATGGGGCTCTGTGCTGACAGCTCAGAGCCAGGAGCTTGCTTCAGATTCTGTGACTCCCTATCGCTGCCCCTCCCCTGCTCAAACTCTGTCTCTCTCTCTCTCTGTCTCTGTCTCTGTGTCTCTCTCTCAAAAATAAATAAACATTAAAAAAATAAACTTTAGAAAAGGGGATCAGTACTTGAGTGCGGAGAAAGACAAGGGTGACTGTAATGTGGACAGAGATAGAAAATATGGGGAGGGGCGCCTGGGTGGCTCAGTCGGTTGAGCATCCGACTTCGGCTCAGGTCATGTTCTCACGGTCCGTGAGTTCGAGCCCCGCGTCGGGCTCTGTGCTGACCGCTCAGAGCCTGGAGCCTGCTTCGGATTCTGTGTCTCCCTCTCTCTCTGACCCTCCCCCGTTCATGCTCTGTCTCTCTCTGTCTCAAAAATAAATAAAGGTTAAAAAAAAATTAAAAAAAAAAAAAAAAAAGAAAATATGGGGAAAAATAAACTTCACTTTAGAAAAATAAAATACAATGGGGCACCTGGGTGGCTCAGTTGGTTAAGTTTCCAACTTCAGCTCAGGTCATGATCTCATGGTTCGTGAGTTCAAGCCCCATGTCAGGCTCCATGTTGACAGTTCAGAGCCTACAGCCTGTTTCTGTCTCCCAGTCTCTCTGTTCTCCCTGCTTGTGTGCTCTCTCTCTCAAAAATAAAAGTAAACATTAAAATTTAAAAAAAAAGAAAGTACAAAATACTGAAGTTAAAACTACATAAAACATAGTTGCTTGTGAAATTACTGAACAATCTGACTGCCTTACTATCTACTGACTTTTAATTTTTTTAGATATATTTCATTTTGAATGAAATACATTATTAACTTCCACAATGCCCTCAATTTTTCTGGTGGGTAGCAGATTCTATTGTCTATACTAAGACTTGGAAGACAGAATTGCTCATTGCAGCTCAATAGGTCTGAGAGGAGGTAAGGAATACCTAATACCAACTAAACTGGTTTGGTTGGAGCTGTTACAAGTTTCAAAATAGCACAATAGGCTGAAATTTTTCTTTTTTCTTTCTTTTTTTTTTTTAAGTAGGCTCCATGCCCAGCGTGGAGCCCAACACAGGGCTTGAACTCATGATCCTGAGATCAAGACCTGAGCTGAGATCAAGAGTTGACCACTCAACCAAATGTGCCAGTCAGGTGCCCCTAGGCTGAAATTTTTGATATTTTTATTCTGAAAAGCAAATATCTTTGTATCTTGGTTCATGGGGAAGGGGGAAAGTATTTACTTAAAAGGTATATGCTGGGGCGCCTGGGTGGCTCAGTTGGTTAAGTATCTGACTTTTGCTCAGGTCATGATTTCATGGTTCATGAGTTTGAGCCTTGCACTTCGGATCCTCTGTCTCCCTCTCTCTCTCTGCCCCTCCCCTGCTCATTCTCTCTCTCTCTCTCTCTCTCAAATGAATAAATAAATACAATTTTTTAAGAAGGTTAAAAAAATAAAAGGTATATACTTATACAAACTCCTGCACAACAGGAGATGTGAACAAGAATATTCATTTTATTTCAGCATTGTTTGTAATAAGTGTGAGTGTGGAGGGGGGAGGAAACAACCCAAAGTTAATCTGTAAGAACAATAGGAAACTGTAGAATATTTTCAATGAAATACATAGCACTTACAATGAATGAACTCTATCTAGCAATGTAGATGTATTTCAAAAGCAATACTAAGTAGGGGGAAAGAAGCAAGTTGTAGTTAAGTGGTATCATTAAAATGTAATTCAAAAACATTTGTTTAAGTTACAAAAAAATGGAAGTGAAAAGAAAGCTGGGGTAGCAATACTTATATGGACAAAATGGGACTTTAAAAAAAAGATGATAAAAAGAAACAAAGGAGGACACTACATAATGATAAAGGGAAAATTTCAACAAGAGAATGGAACAACTATAAATACATAAAGTAATTATTAACAGACATAAAGGAAAAAATTGACAATGATACAATAGTAGGGGACTTTAACACCCCACTTACATCGATAGATAGATCAGACAGAAAATCAACAAGGAAACAATAGCTTTGAATGACACATTACACCATATGGATCTAACAGATATATTCAGAACATCCAAAAACAGTGGAATACACATTCTTTTCAAGTGCACATGGAACATTCTCCAGAACAAATCACATGTTAGACCACAAAACAAGTCTCAACAAATTGAAAAAGACTAAAATCATATCACGCATCTTTCCTGAGGATAATAGTATGAAACTAGAAACCAATCACAAGACAAAATCTGGAAAGAACACAAATACACAGAGGCTAAATAACTTGCTAGTAAACAATAAATGGGTCAACCGAGAAATCAAAGAAATTTAAAAATACATGGAGACAAATGAAAAAGAAAATACAACTGTCCAAAATCTTTGGGATGCAGCAAAAGCTATTCTAAAGGGAATATTATAATAATGCAGGCCTGCCTCAAGAAACAAAAAAAAATCTCAAACAACCTAACTTTACACCTAAAGGAGCTAGAAAAAGAGTAACAAAGCCTAAAGCTAGTAGAAGGAAGATAATAATAAAGATTAGAGCACAAATAAATGAAATAGAAACTAAAAAAAAAAAAAAAAAAAAAAAAAAAAAAAAAAAAAAGAGAGAGAGAAAGAGGACTCAAATGAATAAAATCAGAATGAAGGAGGAGAAATAAAAACAACACCAACACCAAGAAATACAAAGGATTATAAGAGAATATTATGAAAAATTATATGCCAACACCCAAAAAACAAATAATCCAGTGAAGAAATGGGCAAAAGACATGGATAGACACTTCTCCATAGAAGACATCTAGATGGCCAACCAACACATAAAAATGCTCAACATCACTCATCACATCAAAACAGTGAGATACAACCTCACACCATTCAGAATGGCTAACATTAACAACTCAGGTAACAACAGATGTTGGTGAAGATGCGGAGAAAGAGGATCTCTTTTGCACTGCTGGTGGGAATGCAAACTGATGCAGCCACTCTGGAAAACAGTATGGAGGTTGCTCAAAAAATTAAAAATAGAACTACCCTACAACCCAGCAATTGCACTACTGGGTAGTAGAGAGAGAGAGAGAGAGAGAGAATTGCAAGCAGGCTCTGCACTGACAACACAAAGCCTGATGTAGGACTCGAACTCATGAACTGTGAGATCATGACCTGACAAGAAACCAAAACTCGGACACCTAACTGTCTGAGACACCCAAGTGCTCCCTAAATGACCATGTTTTAAATGAAATCAACCAAGCTACAAGTGACTTTCAATTTAATCTGATAAATTTTAATTAGCCATGAAAGGCAACAAAAGTACAAATGAAACCACGTCCTATTTTTTAAGTCTGAAAATGATTAATTAAAAAAAATTTTTTAGTGTTTATTTTATTTTTGAGAGAGAGATAGAGCAGGGGAGGGGCAGAGAGAGAGACACACACAAAATTCAAAGCAGGCTCCAGGTTCTGAGCTGTCAGCATAGGGCCTGACACAAGGCTTGAATCTGCAAACTGTGTGATCATGACCTGAGCCAAAGTCAGACACTCAACCAACTGAGTCACCCAGGCACCCCTGAAAATGATTAATTTTAAAGTAAAAAAGAAATTATTTGAAATGTGTGAGATTTTTACATTTTCAGCCTCTCAATTACCTCCCTTAGTCTTATTTATGGAATATTATATTTTTTATACTAATTGTACCCCTGAAAGTATACAATTTTGGGGAACAAAGACAACTGCAATTACTCTCACATTTACTAGAAAGATTCAATGACTGAAAAAATGCAGGTTTCACTTTAAACAGACCACTTGAGGGGCGCCTGGGTGGCTCAGCCAGTTGAGCATTGCACTCTTGACTACAGCTTAGGTCATGATCTCATGGTCTGTGGGTTCGAGCCCACATCAGGCTCCATGCTGGCAGTGCGGAGTCTGCTCGGGACTGTCTCTCTCTCCCTTCTCTCTGCCCCTTCCCCACTCACGCTCTCTCACTCTCTCTCAAAAACAAATAAATGTTAAAATAAAAAAAAAGAAGAAGAATTAATTTTCAGAGCACCTGGGTATTTTAGTCGGTTGAGCATCTGAATTTGGCTCAGGTTATGATCTCACAGTTTGTGAGTTCGAGGCCTGCATTGGGCTTTGTGCTGACAGCTCAGAGCTTGGAGCCTGCTTCGGATTCAGTGTCTCCCTTTCTCTCTGCACCTCCCCCACTCATTCTTTCTCCCTCTCTCTTTTTTTT